ACTCCAGACTTTGATGAATTTAAAAAAAATACACAATGAAAGGTTGTTAACTCAATTTAATGCTGATGATATAGTCTCTGGGTTAAAAGAAAAATATTAAGGCATTTGGCAATTTCAGCTCTTGTAAAATTTTACTACTGCTACCCAATACTAGGCTGTATTAGAATTTACCCTCTTACAAAAGATGGCAAAAAAATACAATCAACAAAATCACTGTAAATCACATAATGCACTAATTATCGAGCACAATTATTATACAGTATAGGTATATCAATAAAATATAATACAAATATTATGATGGTGTATGTATTGTCAATGTAGCAAAAAGGAAAATGAAATATACTAATTACCTTCAAAAGTTAAATGAACACTGTTTCCTGTGTAAGTACTATTATTAAACATTAAATACCTACACACATTCTCCCTATAATTCCTCAAGTTCAAGATGACCTATGGAGTTCTTTTAGAAATGAGCAAAATGTATTGCCAGTGTAGCAGCAATTTACATTTTTTCGTAACATAAAATCCATATAATTAAGCACAAAATGGTCCATAATTTATTTATTTATTTTTCTTTATGAATGAACATAGTAAATTATTTGTTATGAAGTGCAAAAATAAGTAATGGGCTATCTATGTTGTGTCAACTATGGGTATCAAAACCCAATTTTTGTATTATAAGCCCTCAGATTTACCACTGAGCCACTGGGGGTATAATAAATTGTTTATCTACTTGTAAATTTTTATTGTAAATGTAATTTTTTTTATCAGATATTCTTGTGCATCTTAATGAAGTAGTATAAGCCTTTTGCAAATATGTTTATAGCACGTAACCTGTTCCATATTTTCTTCCTGCAGATTTGAGCAATACTGTTGAGAATGCACAACCACAAGTGCACAACTTTCACGTAGGAATAACTGAAGATCAAAACAATGCATCATTCAATGGCTTTCAGGCATTTTATTAGAAAATGATGCGCCAATTTCGACAAAACACATACTATGATATATTGTAAACTGCCATTTTACTTAAGTCATAATATCATATATACCTACGGATAGTGCTTTCTTAAAAAATAATCATAGTTGTCTTCAGTGATAGTTGACATATAAAACATGCTAACCATTAACCTTTAACTAATGATGCAGTCACATGGTGGTAAATCAACCAATCAATAATGAACTATCCCAATAATTATTTACACTGGTAATATATTACAGGAAGATACTACCATATTGTAACTTATAATTTTGTAGCCCTA